CAGCATTGTACTTGCTCACCCATAATGTGTTCACACGTGACCCACAGATACTCAGATTTCTCTGGGGAAGTAGTTCGTCCGAGTCTGTTTCATTTGCACAAATTATCAGCAAGTTGGAAGGGTGTTGTTAATGGAATCTAAGTTTGAACAAGCTGGACAGGGCCTTAGAGGTCACCTTTTCTGGGTCCTTCACTGGAAGGAAGGAACTTTGCTCCAGGTCACAAATCCTTGTTCCACTCTGTTCCACCATGCTTACTTGTCACTTCCATATATTTTCCCCTTCTTTCTTTATTTAGGACAGCTAGGTGAGTGAGCCCGTTTCTGATTCTCTAGGGAATGCACCACAGAGTTGCAGGAGTTGGCCCTGACAGTCAAGATTAGAACTAAATTCAGTCAGTTCTTCCATCTTTACAGGATAAAGTGATGGCTCCTTTTTCCCACCAACATTACAGCATCTTACACACGCTTTCTGACGATCTCCATTTAACTTCTGGGGACTCCATCACAATTATGAAGCAGAAGTTCTGAGTCAGTGTTACTGCTTGCAGATATTCAAAATAACAAGCAGGGGCCCTGTCAGGGGTGACTGCAGCCCACTCTAATGAATGGTTCAGGAATTCTCCCCAGTGTCCTTTATGTGCTGCCAGAGAGCGTGTCCTCCAGCCAGGGTGCCACCCCAGCGACAGGCACAGGGTCAGCAGTAGAGTGAGGTTAATTCAGATGATGGGGGGTTTGTGACCTGTCATCCCCTACCTTAACCTCCTATTTCCTGAACCCCGATTTTTAACTTCTTTGTTTTCCTGTTTTTATCCTTATCTTTTTTTTTTTTCACTCCTTTTTGTTTTGTTTTTTAAAAAACTAGGGGAAGTGTTAACCAGGTTTGTTTATTTATTTATTTAGTAGTAGTATTTTTTAATGAGGTTCTGGGGATTGAACCCGGGCCCTCATGCTTACTAAGTACACGCTCTACCACTGAGCTAGACCTGCTTCCCTTTTTGTTTTAAATTGTGGCAAACTACACATAACATAACATTTACCATGTTAGCCATTTTGAAGTGTACATTTCAGCAGCATTAGCTGCCTTGACACTGTTGTGCAACCATCACCACCTTCCAGCTGCAGAACTTTTTCATCTTGCAAAACTGAAACTCTGTGCCCGTGAAACAGTAGCGCCCCACTCCCCTTCCCCCAGCCCCTTGGCAGCTGCCCTTTTACTTTCTGTCCCTGTGAGTCTGGCTCATAGGAGTGGAATCATACAGTGTTTATTCGTTTATGACTGGCTTAACGTCACTTAGCAGAATATCCTCAAGGTCCTAGCTCTCTTTTGTGCCGGGAACATGAAAGGAAAGCGAGAACCAGGCTTGGCTACAGGAAGCCTACGATTCGTCCAACAGGATAAGCTTGTCATCAGCTGTTTGTTCATCAAACGTGCTCTGAGCTCCTGCGGGTGCCGGCCCCCCCGGTCTTTGCCGGCGCCCCCCATGATAATAGCTGCTATTTGTCGTGTGTTTCTTGTGCCCTGGGAGCTGTGCTACATGCTGGGAGTCGATTGCCTTCTTTAATTCTCATGAGTAGAACCCTGGCAGCCTGGGCACCCTCGTTCCTCTCTCTTTAGAAATTAGGAATCTGAGGCTGACGGGGTGAAGCAGTGTGTCCGGGGCCGGACAGCCGGTCGCACAGTTAGACCCACGCGTAGCCGATGCCAGAGGCCTGTTCTTCGCGCTTCCGGGGTGACGCTGCCCTGCACAACCGCACAGGGCTCCGCCGTCCAGAACGGTCCACGTCCCAGGATCTCCACGACCAACCAGAGGAAGCAGAGCAGGATGTTTATGCCCTGATGTTACTGTTGGAATAACAGGAACTTGAAACACTAAGCTACTTTGTTCATATTTCCCTGATTCTGGCTGAAAAATGTGGGACTTTCTTGTCTGTCATGCCGCTGCAGGTATCATTACACCAGTGTGTGTGTGTGTAGTGTGTGTGTGTGTGTGTGTGTGTGTGTGGG